GTTCTTATGAGATAGCAAGAACACTTACTGTACAAAAAGTAAAAGATTGTTGTTAGAGTGGTTCAGGCTGTCCTGAGTTATCTCTATCGTTATGCTGCTATAGGCTTAGAATGCTGGAGCACATAGCGACCACTTTTCAACATTCTGCTTTTTTCTATCTCTGTTCTCCCATTGTGCAGTATTTCTTATTTTGTATTTGTCACAGTTTGGCTGTTACACCATTCCGGGGAGAGAAATATCATCTGTGCTGCTGCCATCAACACCTTTGTTTATAGATCTTGGAGCTTGGCCTGTTTTTCAGTGTAGTCCTGCTTCTCTGAGTTTGACTGACTGTATGTGCAATCTTTTATCCTCTGACCAGGGAACTGGCTTGGAGCTCATCTGCCTGGCTGTGTTTTTCCTGGACGGAGGCGCATGTGGAGCTGGTTGACAGTAACCTTTTGTATCCATGCTTCTTTCTGTATGTTTGCTTCTATCTCCTTGAACCCCAGTCGGCCTCGGCAGATAGCTGCTCACACTGAGCCTGGTTCTGCTGGAGGTTTCTTCCTGTTAAAAGGGAGTTTTCCTCTCAGTTGTTGCTACAAGCATGGTTGGTGTGAGGGATTGAGTCAATGAGTCAATGAAATCAGCTGGTTTTCCTTAGACAGAAAACTTTGAACCAATCTTATTGTATTATCTGGTTGAATTCTCTCTGTAAATGCCGTTAGATTACATGTGTTGTGAATTGGTGCTATAAAAATAAACTGAATTGAATTGAAAACTAAAAAAGAAAAAGGAGGGAAATAACATTAGTTGAATATGGAAGATTAGATATCAATCATAAAACGTGAAATTGTCTTTGAACAAAGTTGTTTCGTTTATGCATGTGTAAGTTGTGTGAGAATTCACATAAACATGGTTGACCGCTCTTAAAAATAGATTTTGCACAGTCTAGTGAGAATAAGTTGTTAGTCAAGATATCAGTTGAAACTGGAGTGGAAATATTACTGGTTGGAGGAACTCAAAACAGCACAGCTTGTTGATTGATAGGTAGCTGTAAGAGGGGTGTATCTCAGAACAAGAAGCGGAAGACCTTAGTTGTATTTTTAGACAATAGGTGTACAGTATATCACAAAAGAACAGGATTATGAAAAAGCCTTTTACCTAAAATAATTGAAAGAATTTTGCCCTCTTTCAGACTTTTTTGTTTTTTTTATTCTATTTGCCATCTTTGCATGTGGAGCCCGACCAGCCCTCAATTGTTTACACTCGGGACTAGCTGTTCATCCTAGCCTCAAAATTTCTTGACGTACGCCAGCTTATGCTCATACATGGGCAATAAGTTACAGGTAAGTTATCTGATGAATTTACTCATTAGTCGTGGCGTCTAGCTTATCCAAAATCTATAAGTACTTGTTGCTTAACTTATGCGTAATTCATCCAGAACCTATCTCCATCGAATATCAACTTATTTGACGTGTTCCAGACTACCACTGAATGTGTTTCTAACTTACAGCTATTGTATAATGGTATATTGGCAGCGTTTGGTATAAAAGTGGGTTCACAGGAGGAAACCTCAGTACTCCTCCACACTTCATGGTGAGCAGGCATTCTACAAGAGATGGAGGATCTGGCAAGGCTGAAATGGAAATACCTACTAGCTTTCCTCGAATATCAGCATGATTTCCTCAATTTTACTCTGTTACAATTGTAGAATGAGCCTGAAGGTGAGTATGATGGATCCTCTCTGCGTTCACACCCACTGCCATGACCAACAAACTTCCTAGCAGACGTGTTTCTGAATCTGCTGCGACTACAAATCGTTCTTTCTTTCTTTCTCTCCGTGGCGGCTGGTGGTGTTTTCTTCAGGGGGGGCAATGAATTCAAAATAGACGTAGACCAAAAACTTTCAGGGCTCCAGTCTGGGTGTTTGTTTTTTTGTGTTTGTCTCCCTTCATCCACCAGGAGGTGCCTGGTTCTGGTCCGCCTCCTCACACACCTGCTGATGGTTTCCTCGTTAACGGAGTGCTCTTAAGCTGCTGATTGCCACTACCTCGACTCCATAGTGTTTGCCAGTTTTGGGTACTCTAGCCAAGCTGAGTTTTGCTGAGTCAAACTGAGTTTTTGTCAACATTAGTTTAAACTTTGTTTTTTGTCTTTGCCTCTCGGCAGGAAGTCATCCTGCAAACTGTTTTTTTCGGACCTTCTCTCCCTGGAAGGATCAACTGAGGTTCAAACTGAGCTGGGGTTTTAAAGGATTTAAACTGGAGGTTTGAATCAACTTTTCCCCCAAGAGATAGTTTGACCTTCCCACTGAGAAAGGGATTATTCTCCACTATGAGCCGTTCAAGTACCGCAGGAAATCTGAATGGCAGTCAGTTTCTCCATTCACCAACTAACAACCACATTCTGGGTAACCCTGATCCGCCCTCCACTGAAACAGACAAACACTGGAACCACGGCACACAGATAGGAGTCAAGGATTCAACAACTTCAGCAACTTCAGCAACCAAATCCTCTTCTACAAGTTCACGAGTCAAATTCCCCACTGAGCCTGAACTAACCGCTGTTTCTTCCCCTCACTTTACAGTTCCGGTTGAGCAGTGTGCAGAGCAACACTTCTCCCTCTGTTAAACTTCTTCCATAAAACCCGTTTAACCTTTTCCCTGGTCTCTCTGTTCGGTTTTCTGCATTTGGGTCTGAACTCTGTAACACCATGACAAGCATGGGATTAATGTCCACTGTTATGCTGTTGATACCCAGCTATATCCATCTATAAATCCAGATGAAGCTAACCTAATACATAGATTACAGGTATGTCTTGAATATATAAAAAACCTGATGACTCTTAAATTTATGCTCCTGAATGCAGACAAAACAGAGGATAAAGTCTTTGTACCACAACCTTTGAAAAAGAAACTGGTCAGTCACCTTATTTGGGTGGGATTAAAGTAATCTCTGATAGTATAGTAAAAAAAATCTTAGGTAGAAAAGTAGAATGGGAGGCAGATCTTTT